TTTCATAAAAAATAAACGGAACTGCAAACATGTTTTACTATCGTAATAACGAATAGCAACATAAAAATGTTTTTTCACATTTATCACTGTTGTCATTTTCGTCAAGGAATGATAAGAAGGCACATTTGCTGGTTTTTTGAAAGAGGTGGCAAGAATTGTGATATTTTTAAATTTATCACCAGTAATACCACATGTAGTTACCTGACTTATTGGAATATATAGACTTTGCTACCACATTTAACTGAACTTGGTTGTTTTTAATATTTATCACTGCGACATAGGCTGTTTTTGTTAAAATGTTTCGTTTTAAACTGCTGTAAATAGGTGCCTTTGGTTTGGTAGTTTTAGTTCCAAAAAAATCTATGCATATACAGGTACTCATTCAGCTTTGATTTGCTCGAAAAGTTAAAATTTTATAAAAAATTACATTGGTTGTTTAAAAACTCTTCATTATAATCCCTGAAATGTGATAATTAGGTAAATTAAATTAAAAAACAAATAAAAAAAGTTTATTAAATTAATATTTACTCTTACAAAATAGGTTCTTGTAAGTTAACAAGTAATTATGCAGATATTACTAAGTAAATGTACTTGCTTAAAATTCACACAGGAATGTGGTTTTAACATGTTAAATTCCCTAACTGTATTCGTAGAGATGGTATTCTTTTACTTAATTGTACATCTTCTGGAGAACTTTTTTCATTCTGTGATACACTAGGTGGCCTTACTAAAGTGTATCCCTTGTTTTCAAGTAATGGCTGAATATTCTTAAACCCCTTATCTGCCATTGTATGGGATCCAGAAACCAGTTTGTTTAAATACGCACATTTTTCTATTATTTCTTTATCACTAATTCTTCCAGAAAATTATGAATAAATTCGGTATTTTCAAAAACTTTCAGGAGATTCTGGATTTTCTTCCAGAAGGGTTTTTAGGTTATATACCTTAGAATTTATAGTAGCCTCATTTTGAATTTCTTGAAGGGGACGCAATTAGCAGAAATTGCTGCGACATCTTGAATATGCGGTGTATTTTTTTTTTCTTTCCAAATTTCTAGGAACACTAATAAATATTCTTGAAGATGAATGTGAATCATATAATCACATTCTGGAACAAAACACTTTTTCGTAGTCATAATATTTATAAAAAGTACAAAATGAAACAAAATAAATTCTTGATTAAGACGCTAAGACAGATGACACATACAGTGCTGCCGTTTTGCCATTTTCTGAATTATTAAGTGACTTTTAAAACAATGAAACTTTAAGTAAATATGGTAAAAGTTTAAACAGAAATAATACTTTCAAAAAACATTTGTTATTATATATTTAAAAGATATTTGTTTAACGATGTTTTAGAAGTCTAAAAGTAAGAAGGAGTACACAAACGAACGTACATTACTTCTCGTAAACCTTCTAACCGGCAACGTTGTGGCGCTAGCTCCTATTGGTCTATTCCCGGTGACGTCATAAATTTTAAAAAATTCACAACTCTGGCAAATGAATAGATAAAAAAAATGTAGCTTTATTTTCAACTCTATTATTTATAAAAAAAAATTTCAAAATTTTTGAACATCCCCTATTTTATTTTTCTTCTTATGAGAGCAGCTTAATTATATATTCTTCTATTCTTCCCGTTATCAGAAACATTAATAGGATAACTCTGGGCCCATAACCTATTGGAATACTGATTTTGCAGACAAAAAAATAGAGTAGAAAAATAATCGTGACAATTTTCATTGACTGTTCATATAACATCAAGTATACATATTAATAAATATAAGTACACAAAATTCATAAAGACCTACTGAAAACTAGATTTTTTCAATATAATCGATTACTTAAAAACATTCTATTCTTTTCAATTAATCGATTGTTTTGTAAGTATTGACTATTTTTGATTAATAGTACATTATTTATCGATTACAGTAACTTATTTAATAGATGTAGTGTTTGAAAACAGTATGATATTGATAATAACCCAAATATTGGTGTTTTGAATCGAACTTACAAATGTTAAAATTATTGGTAAAAATTGAACACCCATTTTAAATTACTACGAGACGCCTCTGATTTCTAGCAATTTCTACTAATTTCTAGCAAACGATAACAACTAGGTTGAAAGGGGTCAACCGGAACAGAATGTTGATCTAAATGAAGTTAATTTTTAAGAATAGCACAAATTTTTTGGAAATTTGGTGAGAAATTTTTGACAAGACAACAAATATTAGATGGATTAGGAGTGTAGGCATGGGCGTCGTTTGGGGGGGGGGGGGGGGCAAAGGGGGGCAGTTGCCCCCCCCCTGGCTTTTACGGCTTAATCAACAACGCATAAGATATGCATTACGAACAACAATCTCATAGAAATAATATTCAGGCTAATATAGTTGAAGAATATTATAGGTTGAATATATTTATTGCATATCTGGGTTTCGCTTTTCCGAAGACTGTTAGTTTTTCCTTAAGCATGTTACGTCCCAAAAACATAAAAAATACTTTTTTCACTACCGATAACAAAATGAAAGTGGTGGAAAAATTTGGAATCGACAATTTTGAAGCGGAACACCAAACTGGAATACGAAAGAGCTTTCTGCACACAATGAGCTCTCCATTGATGATATAGCGTCCAAATATTGTGAATTTTATTCAGACATACAAAATGGTTTAAAAAATATTTATGGCTCTTCCACCAACGACAGAGTTAATCGAAAGAACGTTTGGAATTTGGAACGCTAAGGCATGTTAAAACATGGCTGCGGTCTATTCGATCAGAGCGAAGTCATGGTAGGGGAAGCAAAAGCGATACTAGCGCAAGCTGCGGATAATTCGAGTATTTTAGGGCGATATTTTGTAATTTTGGTGTATCAAATACACGTATAAATTTAACTTTTTATTAAAAAAATAGGTAAAAACAATAAAATGAGCAACTGGAGTTGCTATGTTGCAAATTATACTAGCAAAAAGACTGTAAATTATATGAGTGTTTAGTAGCAAAATCGAAATTAAATAAAAGAAATAAGTGGACAGCTGTATAATAAGAACAAAAAAACCTTTATTTATGTAATAATTAAGCAATACATTATTTTTTTATGATATTCTTTAACATCCCTTAAATCTTAAATGTTTAGTAAATGATTAGATTGCTGCCTTTAATTATTTTATATGGCTGACATGCAATCTTGTGACTTATTGAAAGGAAACCAGTTTTATTCATTAATTTCTATGGGTTCTTTCGAATTAAAAATGAAGAAAATATAAATTACAATCGCAAATATACCAATTATTTTTGTTATTACGATTTAATTCTACGTTATTATATAATGGTAATATTTTTAATTTGACATTATTTAACCTAATCTTCAATGACAACTTATTATGCTTAGGCAAGATCTTTATTTACGAGAAAATGTAAATACCTGCCTATGTTTTATTTTTGATTTTTATTGACCTTTTTTAGCTAAAGTAATAAAAATATATAATAATAATAATTTTTTCACTTAATTAACATATATATTTCTTAATTACAAACTCTATTAAAAATTGTATTGTCAGTATACGCAAATATCGTCCGTTAGTTCATAAAATAGTTGGCGTTGCTGTCACGCACGGAGTGAATAATGAATGAAAATAGGCTGATTGAAAAATAAATTGTGTTTTCCGTTATCGATGTTTTTAGTAGAGAAAAAAGAAATTTAAAATTTGCGTTTTCCTAGTGTTTTTTTTTTGTATTCATTGACATATTTGAGTGAGTTTTCTATGTTTTTGTTTTTTATAAATTTTTATTTTTAATATTATTGTGTTCATATTTTTCTTTTATATCACACCTTCTGTTTGTTTTTTAAAAATGTGCTTTAAGTTTCTTGTTTTTTTTTTTAATTTTAGTTTTTGTCTTTTTTGTTTGGTTATTTTATTTATTAGAAACTTGTTATGACAACTTAAGTATCAGTTCTGTCAAATGGGTCAGCGATATTGTTAGGGTTACTACTAAAATTCCACTCCCCTTATTTTCAATATTTAGTGAGATATCTGAATACTTTTGTTCTGTTTGAAAGACTGGAACAAACACTTTCTTATGATTGATTCAATTATTCTGTCCTGGCTTACTTCCGGTTTTTCCGGAAATAACGAAAATCGAAATTTTTTTATTGTAAATTTAAAATTTTTTGTATAATAATCATGTATTGAAAATTTTCTGTCAGCTGTCAAAATTACCATCATATTGGAAAATATATTTTTTTAATATGTTATAGAAAATTTTCAATACAATAATAAAAAAATGGTTTTCATTTAAAAATAAAAAATAAATTGCGATTTTCTGTTATTTCTGGAAAAGCTGTAAGCCATGACGTCATAGAAAAATTAAATCCATCATAAGAAAATTTCCTATTGTTTTTCATTTCCTTTGTTTTCCAACAAATAAACATTCAAAATTTTTTTCAAAATTTTGCCCCCCCCCCTATAGAATTGTGTAACGACGCCCATGAGTGTAGGTAATAATTAATGTATTAAATTTGGTAGATATAATAAGGGATTATATTTTATTACACTGCATTATATAAAAAATAAACTTCTTATTACTTAGGTAGGTGCACCTCTATTTCAAACTGAAAATCATATGCGAGCAAAACTTGAAGTAATCTCGGCCGTACGTAGGTATTCAACAAGAAAAACTTCTGAAAATAAAATCCCCATCATCAGAATATGCACATCTTGGGCTGTCGTGAGACTTAACATCAAAAAATTTAAAACAGTAGTCTGTCGCTGAGAACTCAACAAGCGACTTTCAACTTTTCCACCACCTAACATAAGAGATATCTCAGCTATATCTCAACGATAAAGATCACAATTGATGGCTACCAGGTAAAGGAGGGACTTAACAGAGGGCGTGACATTTCACTCTCATTGGTCGGTTGTCACAATATCTCATGGAGGGGACAAAAAATCGATAGAAAGTAGGGGTAACTTGAACTTCTACAACAGGAAAGCAGTCTTTGCCAAGAACTGATATCAGTGACACTGTTAATAACACAAAAGTTTACAAAATTTTATAAATCATCGTTTTCAGTTTACGAACAATTCGTCGCGACGCGATCGGTGGTCAATTGGACTCAAACCGGGTGAATCCAGTGCACGGATCTTAGTGATTTTGTGAGTGGAAGTGAAAATTATTGCCAATCTGGCGGCGTACCTTGAAGGAGGTTCCGCAATTGCCCCTGTGGGGACTCTCACGTTAAGGGCCGGATTGGCCCATGTGCCTATCGGGCCCAATTCCGGCTATTTACATTCAACACACAATATAGGTTAGTTACATTGATTTATTAACAAACTAAATTCAAAATATTGATAAGATATTAATGATTTAGGTATATTAAATAGGTATCTACCTACACAGACCCTATAGGTACGTGAATTAACTACCAATTCATAAATGTATGTGCATATACCTATAAAAGCCTATTAATAATTACTTACATAAATGATACGAATAAAAAATTGATAATCTGTACCTACCTAGCTTGTAGGTTGGTACTAAATATAAATTCAAAATCTCTATAAACTGTTAGGTATTCAACTATTTAAAAAAAAAAAGATTTTAAGAGAAACTAAGCGAGTATAGGATACTTTAGACCAGCTGTACTCAACCTTTTGATCATTCGGGCCACATAAATCTGACTGTTATGCTACACGGGCCACAATATCACAATATTTTTGGGTGATACCTAACCAGAGTTGCCACTTTTTTGAAATGTAAATAAAGCACAATGGGTGACGATAGGGATCCGCTTTAAATATTTTCTAAAAAATTTGTTTCAAAAAAAGGACTATACTGTTTGGTGTTGCATAAAAAAGTTTGGATCGCCGCACAAAACAGCTTGGAAGGCCGCAGGTTGCTTTAGACCATCCAATCAAACTGATTTTGGCTAAAATCTGGAAATGCTTGAAATTTCATCAAACGCAACTTTTTATGAGTAGCCCTAATCAATTATCTACCAACTGAACCTTGTTAGAGAAAAGCAGAATCTTCTGTCAATTACCTATACCTACTATTTTATTGATATATACTGACAATGAAAATAACAAGTTATATTATCATTAATTAGTTAAAATGTGGTATACCTATAACAATATGATTTTAATTATTCAAACGTGGGTAGATATAGATACCTAGATATACCCAAAGAAAGAAAAGTTTATATACCTATTATTAATTAATTCTTGATAAACTAGATCTAGAAAAACATATAGATACCCCTATTACAATAAACAATTATGGTAAACAAAAATATTTTCAGTATACCTAAGATTCCTGTACCTATAGGTAATGTTGTGTTTGTTTATTTCAAAATAGGAATTTCTAATAGCATCTAGATGTACAATAAATAATATTAGAACATTTATACATACCTATTTCAAATATAAAAAAAATGTATACAAATTAAAAGACATTAAAAATGAAAATAAAAAAGTACCTACCTATAACCAATTACAAATAAAAAAATTAAAAATTGAAGCAACAGTAATACATTTGAATAAGGATATTTTTATTTCGAATACACCTTCGCACGCTAAAACAAAAAGATGGGGTTTCTGGTATTTTAAACTGTTTGTAATCGTCCCCATGTGTTTTTAAAATTTTTACTGCACCCGAAGATGGATACAAAGGTTTCCGAAACATATGTAGTGCTGTGATAACGGTATAAAATAAAATTAATGACCGAATACACCAAGGAAATTTTTATTTATATAAAATAATACATTTGCTAAAATTACAAACAGTGGTAACTTAAAATCGGTGTTCAATTTTTTCCAAAAATTTTATTCAAAACTTTGTACCAATATCGCTTTGTTTTTTTTTGAATTAAGAGTAGTTATTATTATCAATATCATACTGATTTGAAGCACTACAACTATTAATGAATGAATAAATGATTATTTTAGTTATTGTATGTCTACATAGTTCAGTTTACTTCAGATACGACTTTTGTAGGAAACTCAAATGCTTTGCTTACTGTATAGTAAGTACTTATAGTTGGGTACAAAACACACACATGACTATTCTAAAGAAGTCACACACACTGGAAAAAAAACAAAATGTAAATTACAGTCGTAAAACTAAATTATTGTTGTATAAAATTTATAAATAAACATTATAACCTCAAAAATACATTTATACTTAAAATAATAGTAAATGTTTTACCTTGGAGAAGTTTTTCGGTAACAATTGTTGAATTCATACATACTATTTAAACACAATTTTTAAACAAACACAATTAAAATCGAGATAGAATCAGAAACAACATAAGCACTATTTTGCGATACAACAAGTGAACTCACTTTGGGTGGTATTTTGATTAATTTGAATTTATTAATTTTATATTTAAAGATTGACGGAATTATAATGTTTCTATATCAGTTAAATCACGCTATTTTAAAAGTCGGTTGACGTGTTGACCTCTCTTTTCAGCTACAGGCTTCCGCGAAAACCTCTCGCTCTATCGCACTCACTCAAAATAGTGCACTACAGAGAAAAGTTTAGCCAGAGCGCAGCGGCGTACCCAAAAATAGAGATTAACACGTATATGAAAACCATAAAATAATTAAAAAAGAATTTATAATTTTAAGTTATTTATTTTTATGAAATGTAACTAGACATTCCCTGCACAAATGAACCAATGGCGAAACCGCCCTTGATTACAAACAATACATTAAATTGCTAAAGTCCTAATACCTATGTATCATTAATTTTATTTTAGTCAGTAATGGTCGGAGGTTCTGTTATCATACCAGGTTATTATTGTTAAATTCGTTAAGTCCTTTAAAAAGTAATAATTTTGATGTTTGTGACTTGTTTTGCATAAAAATACGAAAATCATCCCTAATTCTTGTTTCACATCGATGAATTTGATTATTAAAGGTTATGAATCTACGAAAATATTCAGGAACCATGTTAGGGTAAAATTTTATACAGGGTGGACCAATCTTGTAGAAAAGTTCGATATCTTCCTTGTTGAAAGAGATATTAAAAAAGTGTATTAAGAAAATTAACATTTTAAAATTATTGGGAGGTATACAGGGTATTGCATAGCTCATGTACGAACCAAACATATGTTTTTTTTTAATGATAACCCCAGTACCTATATTATTTTAGATTCTGTTTACTCATATTTTTTCCATTATTCTAATATATGGTTTGTCTATGTTATATAGGGTACTATTCAAGAAATTGACATTTTTGTGAGAAAAGCCAGGTCCTTCTCTTTTGTGATCATAGTACTGCTTTTTTCCATTTTTTTTTTCTTCGCGGAGCTCCCACAAAGACTGCGGAGCACCAGGGCACACTTTGAGTATCACTGTACTAGACAGACCATTTATAATACACTGATATTACCTCATTTCTATTACTGTAGTATTATTATTTATACAGGGTGTTCTAATTTTGATAGATTACAAATCCTGCGGAATAAGGCAATGCGGGCAATTTTGGGATGCAATCGTTTTACTAGTTCGCACTTAATGTCGGAAGCTTTAAATTTGATAAAAATTGAACATCTACTTTATATTCAAACGATGATATGTATGTATAAAATTGTTAACAACATGTTACTTGAATACTTAAACTATTAGCTTGTACCAGTTGCAAATATTCACGGGCGTAACACTAGAACGGCCAATTCTATAAATTTTTATGTGAATTCAAGTAACAAAACCAACTCCATGAAAAGTTTGATTCATAAGGGATAAACATTATTCTATTCTAACATGAACGTTATAGACGCATACCGATCACACCTAAAAATAACTCTCTCATGGCTTTATTTTCTATTTTTTGTAATATTTTAATTTAGGTCCAAAGAATATAATATTGTTGAGCAATATTCAAAATATGCTTTGATTATAGTGTTGCAGACAGTTATTCTAGAATCGATATTTAAACTTTGGGATATACGGGAAAATAAATATATTTTTTATGAATATAATTAAAAATTGCATTAAAATTTAAGTGACAATCAACAATAAACCCTAGATATTTTACTTCACTAACAATTTCTATCTTAACACCATCTATAAATAAATTTTTGTCATTTATATTTAAATTATCATATTTGTAGAGTGTTGTTATTAACATTCCTTTTGTTTTTCTATATTAAACTAATTAAATAATTTGAAATCTGTGACATGGAATGATTCCTTTTTTTGACAGCTTATTCGTCTAAATTTACAGATAAAACAGTATCATCCGCAAATAAATGTATATAATCACATTCATGAAATATATTTATATCATTTATATAAACTACAAATAAGTGAGGCTCTAAAATACTACCTTGAGGTACACCACAATTAACAGTTATACTTGATGACATACTCTTGTTCCATTTTGTAATTTATCTACGTTCACTAAGGTACCTAATTCTTCAATCAATCGCAGCTGATTCGAGACCATGAAACAACTGGTATCGGGGCTTTTCTTTTTAAGGTTGCAGGCAAAGCTGCAGATGAACTAGGTGTCAGATTTGAAATAGATGATAACCAATATCTTACAAGATTGGAACCCGTTCAAGTAAAACGTCTAGTTAGGGCAACAGAACAACATCTGCTCTTGGAAGCTCTTGGAAGCAAACCCCATCACAACGTTTTTTACAGGAACATAGAAGATCTTAATCTATATAGAGAAATAACTTTCTCATTTCTTCGATCAGCTGACTTGAAGTCTGAGACAGAGGAATTCTTGTTAGCTTGCCAGGTTGGCGTAGTTAATACTCTCGTATACCGCGCTCAATTTACGCATGTGGCGGATGTCAGATGCAGAACATGCCAACAATACCCGGAGACATTAATGCATCTTTTGTCTGCTTGCCCGGTGCAACCTGTGTCTGGGTACGTATACAGGCATAACGCCGCATTACGAGTTCTCTACTATAATCAATCATCTGAGACATCACTACGGTATAGATGAGACCCCAGTTCTGCCATACGCCCCAGACAAAATTGAAACGGTAGTGGAAAATAACAGTTGTTGTATTTATTGGCTTTACGCTTTTCCAACAACAACCAGACTCCATGCTAACAAGCCCGATTTGGTGCTGTTGGACAAGCAGAGTCATTCAATGTTTGTCATTGAGTTTTCTGCACCAGCTGAAACCAACATTCTTATTAAGGAGAGAGAAAAGCGTGCCAAATACATTCCACTGATTGACGAGTTGCAAAGAATGTATTCAGAATATAATGTACGAATGGTAGTCCTAATTGTGGATGTTTTGGGGGAATCAAGGACATTATGCTCACGGAGCTACAAAAA